ACGACTGCTGTGTGGCGCTGAAGGCGGCGAATCAGCCGAGCAGAGAGGTCGCTGTTCCACTGGGAGGCGTGTCAACGGCGAGCAGGCTCTTCAGTCAGCGGAGATCAGCGTAGAACGTCGTCATCGCTGAAGGAGAAGAAATTTGAATCCTATGGCAAAGTGCCCACTTATATAGCCAGATGGCCCTGCACATTCTGGCGGGCTTTGGCAGGCTTCGTGACTATAGGTTCGTGCAGCACCACAGCCGAGCCATTGGTTCGTTTTTAAGTGTACTGCATGAACCAATGGCTGTGCAGTTACACTGCATTATTGAAAAAGGCTTTAGTTCAGGAGAAAAAAATGACTTTTTCCCATAGCGTCTTAGCAGACGCAGTATGAGTGAAGTATAGATAGGGAACTATGATGGTGTTTATATATAAAGTTAGCATAACTAGAAATTGTGTCGTTCAGGGTCTAAAGTTCTTGTAGTATGTTTGCCTATGTTTATGGTATGGTAGCTATTGCTAGTGATTATTTGAAATGCACTCCTAATTCATACTAAGGTTAGAATTGTTAAAAGGTTGCTAGTGTAAATCACACATTCAAATTTTATTCTAGAGTACATTTATAATTTTCATATACAACCAGGGCCACAGAGGCCCCTTAATAACAGTCACTTGCAGTCCAGGCCCCCCTTAAGCCCGGCCCAGGACAGAAGGTCCAGTTGTGTGTTTCTGCAGTTTCTGCTCTCTGAAACTGTGTGATCAAATGAATATTGACTGATTGACCAAGTGATCAAGAGAAGCCCCAGAATGCTGTCCTTTCACCTCTGTTTGGTGTATGTGTATGTATGCTGGATTTACAGCCAGCATTCTGTGTGTTAATTTAGCTTATAGGACTCCTAGTTTCAATGCATTTAAACAGCTTCTGTCTGCTGTGATGCACAATTTAGAGCTCCATCTGCAAGTGCAGCAGGAGATACCAGACCACCCTTGCATAAATCCCCCCAAACAATCTCTCACCAAGTAGAGAAATAAGAGGCCTGCAAAGGTAAGAAAATTCAGATGGTCATCAATATATCCCCTTGCCTCACTCGCCAGGGAATGTTTATCAGTGAGTCAAACGGCTGTATTGCTTATTGACTGAGGCACTATAACCTCAACGTGACACAATAGCAGAGGCCTCTAACCTGAAACGATTGCCCCCAGTGTACGTTTTTCTCATGGCTTCAAAGTGTTCTTTATTTATAGGTCCTGAATTTTTTTGCTAGTTGTGTCCTTTTTTAATCTATTGGTTAAAAAATAAAAAAGAAGAATGAACCCATAGTTATATAGAGGAAATGTATTATTGCCTAATGAAAATGAAGCACATTTTAGAAATATTACGACTTTTTGCATTGTGACATTATTTTTTTTCACAATTAATCAAATAGACCCCAAATTTCCATGACCATAATTGCAAACATTTTACTTTTGTTTTGTTTTTTGTAATTCCAATTAATCTTGATTTTTCTTATTACTGTAAAAATGCATAATTTTTCACAATTTATAAACATTTTTAAACAATTTAAATAATTTGTTCTGCATTACAGAAATTATTTTATATGTGTACAGTACATTATGGTAATGAGAATTGTGGGGAAAACTTGAATAATTGTCAGAATTGTCATTGAAAATGCCATAATATAAAATATTAATGGTAATTAAATTGGTCAAAACTGATGGTAAAGACTTGTATTACAAATATAATAATAACAATAATAAAGAATCCTTAAAAAGGATCCAAATATATATTAAGCAGCACAACTGTTTTTTTAAGATTGATAATAATAATAAATGTTTCTTGAGCACCAAATCAGCATATGAGAATGAGTTCTGAAGGATCAAGTGACACACTTTAAAAAATTGCAATAATATTTTACAATAGTACCATTTTACTGTATTTTTGATAAGTAAAAAAAAATGCAGCCTTGGTGAGCATGAAAGACTTTTATTCAAAAACATTTAAAACAAATCTTACAGACCTCAAACTTCTGAACAGTAGCTTATTTTTTCATTTTATTTTGGTGTGAATAAATTTGTCTAATCATTTTGTTTCTTCAAATATATGTCAAATTATTTGTATTGATCCAGGTAAAATATAATTCCAGTAATCTGATTAATAAAATGCTAAAATTTTCAGTTTTGCTGGTACAGATTCTCTTCTATGCATTCTGACTGCGAGTTGTGAGATTGAAGAGAAGCGCGCCCCCCTCTGGTCAGTTTTAACATATTGCATAGCAGCAGCTGCTTGCTACTTCCAGATGTCTCCATGTCTCCTGTGTTAATTATCATTAAGATTTTAGAATAAAAAATCTGTAGAAATTATAACCACCCACCAAAGCATTTTTGTTTATCACTAATATGAGTTTTCACAATAAGAGTTAAAACAATACATCATAAGGTCATGGGTTAGGAACTGCATAAGGAACTGCTTATAAAATTAGATCACGCACTCATTATCATGAACAAGACCCCGTCTGTAATGTAATTTTTAACTTTTTTTATGGGTCCAAAAAAATCCCTCTGCTTAGCCATGAATGCACCACAATTTATAAGAGATGGTATTAAACCTCAGTTGTTATTTTTTTATTCTCTTTTCTCATTCTCCTCTAGTTTCTCCTCTCTCTTTCCCTCCTCTGTGTTTGAAACAGTCGGGTGTATTTGTCCGTTCACAAACCCTGGGCACTAAGATTGGAATTCTCCTTTCTCATTACCAGTCTTAATAGACCCCCTCGACCTCATCCCAGACCGAGATATTATCTGACCCATAGAATTAATTAATTATAGCCCAAATATTATAGATTATTAAAAATAGCATAAGTAATAGTGTAATATCTCAAGCTGTCGAGTTTAATTGTCAACATTGTCTTGGCACCTCTTATCAGTGGGAGACACCCGGTCAGAATATTGATTTCTAGTCGTTTTAACCATCATCTGCTGTTGTGATGGAGAATTGTCAGGCTTTTGCTACTCTGTGCTCATTTAAAATCATTAGATTGCTTCTGACGCTTTGACTAAAGCTGTCTTTCCTCCCAGAGCACTAGAACGGCACAATATTTTATATTGTGTAAACTGACTTGCAAATGTGCTGTCCCAGCAGAATTTTTTTTTTATTATTATTATTATTCATTTATTTTAAGATGACTGTTATTTAGAGCTGAAAAAATAAAAAACATAATTTAGTGTCCTAAATATCTCTGATCTATATCTGAAAAATAGAGACCTGTAATTTTTTAATTATTGTCTGGTCAAATGATCTGGAATAGGTAACTGATTTGTGCTAACATGACAGAAAGGGTGTGCTCATGCACAATGGTTTGGGACGCTGTTGTAGGGGTGTCTTGGTTATTAAATTGTCAATAATGAATATGCTATTGTCAATGATTTTCTCACATGATCTAGGGTGAAATAATAAGGAAGATGGTTCGATCTGTTTCTTGTGTGTAGACTTGGGGGTCTGTGAGTTGGACAATTGTGACAACATGCAAATTATTGTGCATAATATGATTCAATTGACAAAATCATTCAGTGGGCTACTGGGAGAATTTTCTATTTTTCAGCAATTCCCCAATCAGCTAGCAAAACTGGCTGACTCAACAGCCAATTGTGTATTTTCATGGATAGACAAATTGTGCTTTCATGGATAAACATATCTGAGGTCTACATTTGCACCATAATCAAGGTGCAAATGCAAGGTTTTGCAGTGTAAAATGTACTTTATTTAATCAGCTTGTTAAAATTAGCATGATAGTCTGTACGGACGTATGCGTAAATTTAGGCTACAAAATTGAGAAACACTCATGGGAAAGCCTATTATAATGGCTATTATTTGGCCCCTCAATAGATCAGATTAAAAGTTGAATGTCATGGCCCATGATGCTGCAGCCTCTTTGCAGGGGCTTATATCGTGACTCCCATGGGTCCGGTCTTGATGGGATAATCATGTTCATCCTTACAGCTGATTGTTTTACCCATTTTTGTGCAACTTTTAATTTCTTGCTTATAAAGGATCATTGCCTTCGGTAATTGCAAAGAACAGACCTTGTTCGTGTTGCCCATCTGAACCAAACAAAAGAAAATTAAATTGTCACACTTCTGTGGCACTTTTTTTTAATCTGAACTACACCATTAGGACTTTGCTCTCATAGTTGTTATCAGTTTAAAAACTGCTTTTTGGTCACTTGTTTGTTGTAAACTAATACATTTTTCATTTCAGTTTTATTTTCATTAGGGTGATAATTTGTGATTAATATGGTGCTATATATATATATGTATATATATAGCCAATTAACAATTAAAAATCGATTCTATGTGTTTCTGTTTTGTCGTCAAATGAAAAAGACTCACTGCTAACCACTCCAAGACATCACTGCTTTCAGTGGCCCATTTTCTCATTAATTTCTCTGGAAACAATGATTATCCCAACCTTAACCCAGCGCGGGAGATGGGAGGGAGAAAGTAGGGGAAAATAAGCCTATTTAGTGTGTTTCCAGTCCAGTGCCCTCACGTTGGGTGTGAGTTGACAGCTGTGTATATCAGAGGCCACATCATCGCTCACTCTTCTCTGGTGCTTCTCATACTCAGACGGAGATAATAGGCTATTAGAGGCATGGGATTAATTTGTAGCCAATTACCACTCACAGTGGAATATGAATACATAAATAAGCCACGGCTTGTGTCTAAGTTTTGGAGATGATCAGAGCTGTGTAAAGGGGAGGGTAGCCAGCTGGGCGCGCGCGCGTGTGTGTGTATGTGACATAAACGACGGGGTCCTGAGGGGACGGTTCAAACCCGAAAAGGACCTGAGCAGGGGGACATCAGCATCACCATCCAGAGACCGGCTGGATCAACTCCTGACCAAAATCATCTTAAGTAGCAGACTGCACTTATTTGATGTCTTTTCACCAGTATGTGTCCTGTTGAATAAAGAACGGCAAAAGAGAACAGAAGTCAGGCGGCTGTGCTGCCCTCTGGAGAGCTATGAACCGGGATAAAGTGCAGGTTGGCGACTCCATCGTACCTGCCGCTGCCGGCGTGATCGTGGTCGCTCCGCAGGACGGCATGGACGACAAACGCCTCGCTGCCGGAGAATTGCCAGTGTTTAACTGCGCCGGAGGGAGAGAAGATTTACCGGCGGAGAGTCGAGAAACCTCACCGAGACACGAGCCCTCACCCGCGGGCGCGCCTCCTACCGTCCACCGGACAACCTCGTTCTCGGTTCTGGACATTTTGGACCCCAATAAATTTACTAGTAAGAAGCAAACACCTAATAGGACAAGCTGTGATTTCACGTTTGGTGCAGAAAACAGAAGCGATGACTCAAATCATACGATCGAGCACAAGTCTTATCAAGAGGACTACGACTTTAAAAAAACATCAGGGATTTTAAGTAAGTTACCATTGTTTTTCCCTTGTCATTGTGTATATGTTCAAAATGATGTTTAACATGACAGCGCGAAAGTACATACAAATAATATGGACAAGCATTTTTTCAACATCAACATTGTAGCCTATAAGTTAAAATGATATAACTGAAATGTGGGCACGTTTTTTTTTTCTTCAATTAAACATATTAATGCAAAATGTACATGGATGTATAAGGGAGTAAAAAGGTGCTGTGATTGGTCACCGTTTTGGAAAAAAGGTTTTTCACGATTATAATTCACTTTTCACTTAAAATGATACTGTGGTGTGTCAAATGAATTAATAAAAGTTCGAATATTCAATGTAATCTCATAATTATTTAGGTAATAAAAATAAATGTAGAATAATAACGTTTAAAATAGTTTTTATAACATGTAATTGCAGGACACTGCTTGAATGCCCATATTCAGACCAGTTTTGTTACTTAGGGCGTTTATTATAAGAAAAATCTAGTTTTTATAACAAAATCATTTATTTATTGTTAACAAATGCAACTAGACCTTAAGCCACATTTTCTGCACCTGGAAGAATTTTATGGATTTTAACTAAAGTTTATTTACAGAAGGAATTGTATCAGTTTTTTTTTTCTTTTTTGTAAAATCATTAAAATACTCGTAAATGGACGTTAAGTCTTTTAATTGAGTGGTTTTGGAGTGAAATGAGGAATTATTAGGATTGCTATTAGATATTACTTTACAGTTACTCTTGAGACTGGTAGAAACAATTTTTTAAATGTAGCCTATGCCACTTGGAATTTTTAATTGTCAAGTGAATACACTGAAACAAATCTTCTGATAATTCCTACGTTTAAGAATAATTTTGGAGCACTACATTCGTGCTTTCCGACAACTTTTTTTTTTTTTTTTTTAGACCAATTATCGATATCTCCTTTAATAAGCATAATAGGTTTTAATCTTGTAATTATCCGAATTTTAGTCCTATAATTTAGATGTTGGGAAAGAGTTTGCAAGATGCCTGAAAGAGATATACTAATTTCTATAATAGGATATCGACCAGTCTGGAACAGATCCTCCACATCATCAGCGTCTTTACGCAGCAAGTTGCGTTAAATTAAACGCAATCGAATGGGTTTAATTGTTTGTTTTTCTTCTTCTTCTTTTCTTTAGATATATTAGTGCTTTGTATCGAGTCTAAATGGTGAAATCAGAAAGCGCGGTCTTCATGGGATCATCTTATCTTCTGTGCCTGCATTTGCAAGGACAAATATGTGTCAACCTCTATGATTGATTGGAGGCAGCGCGCGAAAGCAATTTTCAATAAACAGTAATTGTAGGCTGCAATAATTTGATAAGGTTTGTGCTGTTTTTAACAGCCGCTTTAAATGGATGAGTAAATTGAGAGTTATCGATTAGACGACCGTGCTGTGATTTAAGATGTCAAGACGAATTGACACGCCAAAAGTGCCATCTACTCTGTCCCCACTTTATATAAAGAGGAAAAAGAACGACTAGAACAGAAATTTCGGTTTAATTTCAAGTGTAAAAATTTTGTTATTCTCTGTTGTTGTTGTTGTTTAAGGATTTAAACTATAAACTAGTAAACAAAATGCTATAACAATTAGGCATCTGTGCTGAAGTTTATTTCAGACACTTAAAGCAGAAAACAATTTCTACGTTACTCAATCGAAATCACATTACAAGAAATGTTACATATTTAAATGAGAAAATTAAGGATTGTAGTTTAGAAAAAAAATAGGAAAATAGATGAGAAAAATATAGGAAATATAGAGTAAGAAACAACTGAATGTACTTACTAAAATGCTTTTCTTCCCCCCCCCGTTGGTGCTACCAAACTCATATCAGCGGGTGTTAAACTCTGTAAATTCACCTGTGCATTCAGGTCATTGGTGTAAAGCTGACTTTTGACAACAGTGTTTTGTGTTTCCACAGAAGACGGATTTGTGTTCCGGTCAGATGAATGTGAGGCTGATTTTACCCGAGGGAATCAGTCGGACAGCGAGCTGCAGGAGGATCTGTGCAGTGAGGAGAGCAGCGCCCTGCTTGGAAACAACGACGCCGAGTATGGGCAGCACGAGGACGACGACTCACTAAACAAAAGTCCAGAAGGACAGCAGACTCAACAGTCCTCATCAAACGGACAGAATCAGCCGGTGAAACCCAAGCGTAAGCGCACCGGTTCGGACTCGAAGTCTGGCAAACCCAGAAGGGCCCGGACTGCGTTCACGTACGAGCAGCTAGTGGCTCTGGAGAACAAATTTAAGTCGACGCGATACCTGTCCGTGTGCGAACGCCTCAACCTGGCGCTGTCTTTGAGCTTGACAGAGACTCAGGTGAAAATATGGTTTCAGAACCGCCGGACCAAGTGGAAGAAACAGAACCCGGGAGCAGACACGAGCGCACCGACCAGCGGGAGCGGAGGTGGACCGAGCAACGGGCTGGGCAGCCTGAGTCCTCTGAGCCCGTCTCCTCCTATGGGCGGTCATCTCTCCATGCACACCAGCTATCCGGGTCACGCGCCAGGAGGACTCGTCTGCACCACTCAATTACCCTTTCTGCCGGGTCACGCGGTACTGTCACCCTTCATGCTTGGCTCTCAGACTTACGGAGCGCCCACGTTTTACGCGCCGCACTTATAAGAAGAAATCTTTAGGAGATGTCCTGGATCGGAAGAAACAGAGTGTCCGGTCAACTCGGCACAGGAACATTTTTACCATGAAGCACTATGCTGTCACACACTTGCAAAGACATTTGATAGGTTTGTCTTAAAAACCGAGACGTAGCAACCATTCTGCACTGTGGCAAACCCAGAATTAGCCTAAGTTCAGGAATCATTTTCCTCATGTTCGGCAATATATGACAATAATTAGATTTGATTTCAATTTGCTTCATTTTGATCAACTGTGAATATTTCTCAAGGTCAAACTGTATATATTTAGTTATTATGAAATGTGTTTAGACATTAACTTTGAATGCAAATGTAGTAGGGAATTAAACGGTATGTACTGAAACAAAGAATGAGATTGGACTAAAAATCGTATAAACATAAGCCTAATGAAAAGTTTTTTTAATTTTAATTTTTTACTGTGGGCCATATTATTTAATTCTGACGTTGCATAGACTATGCTATTATTTAATTGTTTGTCTTACAATTAAATGGTTGAAATAAAATGACAGATGACAAAGATCAGTTGTCAAACATTTCGTTGGCATGGCTTTATGAACTAGATTTAAAACCAAGTTTTACATGATCTTGCACTATATGCTAATGCCTGATTTGAAATTGAATTTTATAAACTGAGAAACTGCTTACTCGAAAAGCTGGAATTAATCGCGGTCAATTTCGTTCAATGAAGCGCGAACAGGTGTTCTATTGGTAATCGTTTACTTTACATTTCACGTCATTTTTACGAATATAGAAAGTTTCCCCCCTTTGAAACCCTTGTGTTTAATGACTCAGGCTGAAATAGATTATTGTTGCGTTGATTTACTTGAACATTAGCCTAACTATTTACCAACATCTACGAAAATATCATGTAGAAAATATTATCATTTTACATTTATAAATATTTAAAATAAGACAATTAATTTTCCTTTCAAATTACTTATTGTTTTGATAGTTGCTTAAATATCAATAACGTAGCCTAAATGTCAGCTGAGGACTACTGAAAGGCAGTTGAAAAATAGGCTATTAGAATTTCGATTGCAATTTACAGTTTTGTTCGTTAAAAATATTTTTGTCTATTATTGTTTTTGATACTGAAACTAAAGACTGTGCTGTTTAACACAGGGCTCTATCGTTTCTGAAATTTGCGTACTTTTTATTAATATTAGGCTAAGTAAGGAGTCCAACGCCTTAAAACGAATTAGTATAATGCTGCTAAAATTCGCACGATTTTCAACCTTGCTGGTGCGATTGTTTTTGATGCATGCTTTGTATACTGCTTCGAATGGCATAAAATATTACATTAAACCTATATAAGCAAACTTTTCTTTTACGCGATATTCAAGGAAAATGTTAGTGATTGTTTTATAAAATGGGGGTTTTAAAACAATTAAAAACAATTTAAAATATTATAAAATATATTTTAAAACAATTACTAAATTCGTTTCCGGCATGCCAACGTATGATCTTGTTTCGTGTCCAGACATAAATTCACAATGAAATGGGTGCAAAAGCTAGGCCTACATCACATTTACAGCATTATTAGCTACGTATTGTTATCGTTATTATTACAATTAGAATGCATTAAATACTTTAAATATTCTTTTAATCACAATCCAATTTTGCAAGTGAATAAAATATTTACATATGGGGGAAATTATAGTCGTTATGTTGAACACGTATGAAAAGACGGACCATGACGATCTTTTTTAATACATCATTATTTTTGTCCGATTAACATATTCTTCGTCGTCCGTTGGAAATCATCATACTTATTTACACATTTAGGGAAGTAGGTTTCTTTATTAGTTTTTAAAGTTTGTTTTCTAAGGCAGAAAAGAATGCTACGGCTGCTGCAATAACGTCCAATCAGTGTGAGGAATCCATATTCGTTACCGATGGGTGGATGCAAAAAAAAGACCACACGAGCTACACCAATGTCAATTAACACTAATTCTGTAACAGCGAAATCACTTTCCCAATTAACAGCTTTAGGCTGGTTCAAAAGCATTGCTTCCTTATTAGCAATGCCATAGTTGTCTGCAGTATACAGTCAAGTTAACTTAGCTGGCCTCATTTAAAATTGTAAGCCATTCTTCATTTGCTGTAATGAAAAGCTGTTTTTAATATAACTGTTACAAAAAAATTATATTAATAAAAATATGTGTACTTACTGTTTCAGCGGATCTAATCGATTAAGGTAATCTGCAAGCCTGTCGTGTGGCTATGTTACTCAAAGAACACGCAAACGTTAATAAATAAAATTTTATGTAAAAGTCTTGAAATGAGAAAAAAAAAATCCTGCCTTGCCTATGCCTTCATATGTTGCTGTGGTGTGTTTTTAATCTTCACAACAAAGAAACCCCTTAAATGAATAAAGACAAAGTCATGTCTTATAAAATCAGTAGAAATTTACTCTATATTAACATTCACATAAGACTTACACTGACAACATATTTCTTTAAAAGTACTGTTATATTTAAAATTCTGGATCACAAATAGGTCTACTACAATGTAGCAAAGACAAAAGTTTGGAAAATACAATGTTGAAAATACAAAATTGAATAAAATTTAAATTAATAAATTAGTTACATACCACTCAGAACAAAAAATAAATAAATTAATCAAATTATTCAGGCATTACAAATGACAGTACAAAGTTGACAATACAAAGATTATAGTTCATTTGAGGCACAGTATTAACGATGTGCTTTTGTTCTGCATAAAAATCCAAACTGGTGTGTGGCAGTACGGCTGTATCCTTTAATTCAGTGCATAGTTAAATTGATTTGAAAATTTCTCATGTTGCCTCTTGTCCATCTTGTTCATGACCTCCGTAACTCGTCTCATGGAGCTCCTATGAGGAAACAATGTGGTCGAGATTCAAATGATTTATTTACCCATAACTTGTAAAATATGTTCACCAATATTCAATACAAATATACTTGACTTCAGTTATCTCCCAATATAGCCAAAAGTATCAGGCCAATTTAGTGATTTTCTGTTTAATCTTGAACATCTATTATTACTTAATTGTTAAAGACTTTCTTCTCTAGTCTTGAACGAGATGTACTGGCATTTTGCTTTAAATCTGTAAGGTTTGGGTACTTTTTCTTTGACTTTCCTTTGTTGCCATTCTTTCCCTTCCCGTACGTCTTTGAGGAGCCCAGATCTTCTCCAGTTGCAGCTTCGATCTCCCTCATGAGCTCTGGGTCTCGCCAATCTGAGCCAATAAGAGAAAGGTTGCCAGAATAGAGATCAATGCACCATACATTTATACACATTTCACATATTTGATTCCTTGAATTCTTGGAAAAAAAGAAACTTGAAAACAAATTTGAATGTTTCATCTATGTTAAATAATTTATCCCATTGAATATAAAGATCTGATCATGGCCTCAACCTTTGATTCTGGTAAAATCGGAGATTACGGAGAAGTGCTGAAATCGCGCTTGGTCTCGTACTGTATCGCGTACCTTGTCAGTGTCGTGCGCTTTGCTTGGCCATTTGTTGTGATAAACAGGAAAGTGTGTCCAGCTGAATTCAATTTGAGTTTTGTTAGACGAATATAAAAAGTAGCTTAATGGTGAAACTAGGACTGGAGGAGATTATTCTAATATGCTGATTTGGTGCTCAAGAAACATTTATTATTATCGATGATGAAAACAGAAAATCAGTTTGGAAACCATTTTTTGTTTTGTTTTTCAGGATTCTTTAATGAATAGCAAGATCAAAAGAACAGCATTTAAGAATGTTAAAGTTTTTACTGTCACTTCTGATCAATTATTAAGTTCTTAAAAAAAAAAAACAGTTCGTACACTTTGTACAGTAGTGTAGATAGATCAAAATCATCAACTTTTCATTAATCATGTCCCCTACTGTTGATACATGCATATCTTGCAATGATAAAATGGTAGCTGTTAAATTATTTACAATCTCCAAAGTGTTTAATTGCACAGAGTACTGCGCTTCATCAGTCTGTAGTGAAACGCATGCATGCAACAAACAGCTTTTTCAAATGCCTTTTAAATGAATATGGAGGAGTTGGTCGTCCCTATAAGGATTTATGGAGGTGAAAGGCCCCCGTTACATGAGTGCTACAATCCGTCCTCGCTTAAGTCAAGCCTTTAGGGGCTTCATTCTCCCAGTGAGAATGATGGGGGGGCCCTGCGTTTAGCTTAAGCTGTACAGCAGGGCTGACTACTCTGTCAACAGTTCGCATCTGCATAAGTCAGGCACACATGAACATCACAGGCAACAGCTGCAGTCAGCTTATTTGATTATCTATAGAAAACACATTCAAACACAAAAATGCTATGATAAGATGGTTGTGAAGTGCACAGTAATATTGCTCTTTGGCAGGTTTGCACCAGTCCAGACTATTCTGGGTTAAATATAATTTAAGTTAAATAAATAATTGACTGCAAAAAGGCAAAAATTGGGGTTATGGTGAGGCAGAAATGCAAAGCTTATAATTTTATAAAAGCCTTCACAGTATTTTTTTCTGTTAAAATTTGTATTATTTCAGCTACAAAGCGGTTCTCTGCAATTTTACAGCCATTTTATGGTTTATCACAGGGGTGCCCAATCCTGTTCCTGGAGATCTACGGTCCTGCAGAGAGCTCAGTGCAAACCCTGCTCCAACACACCTGTCTTTAATTATCAAGTGTCCCTGAGATCTTAATTAGCTGGTTCATATGTGTTTGATTAAGGTGTGAGTAGTTTTGATGTCATGAAATTGGCTCCAGTCAATTTTAAGTGTCTCACTATGACACCTATTTTTGCTTTTTTTAATAGAATTGGAGGAAAATAATTGTTGTGTTATGCTGAATTATGCCACAAATACTGTCAACTGTTAACCTATTTTGAACCTGGAATATGCCTTAAAGACAACAGACAGCAGCTCTAAAGCCAGAAACAAATGCTTGGCCGATACTTTCCTTCAAAAGTATTTGCCACTGACATGGGATGTGTAATTATTCTATAGGCATGGTGACAGTTCAACTAACTTTCAAGTAGTTGATCTTAAAAGGCAAAACTGACCATAGCTGTAACATTTTTAGTGCAAGGCTCCACAGTGCACGCTGCCATAATGATGAGAACAACATATTTTTGTTTCCTTTTGTTAAAAGTGAGACCAATATATTAAATGTTAAATGTCGTGTTGTTAAATAAGGGGAAAAAACATATTGTCTTTATAGAAAGATTTCAAAGTAGTCATCCCATATTATCACTTTGAAAAACTAAAATTTTCACAGTTTTAATAGAGCATCCCCCTTTTATAGCAATAATGCAACTTAAAGGGGTCATGAACTGCCTTTGTTTTTTTATTTTGTACTGTTCTCTGAGGTCCACTTATAATGTTAAGATTTTTACATCAAAAATCATCATAATTTAGAAGTAATAGGCTATCCTGTTTTGCTCATCAGAACACTCTGTTTGAATAGGCATGGCGGATTGTAGACTCGGAAGTAAACGCCCACTGCTATGATTGGCTAACAGCTGTGTATGTTTGACACCCTACATTCCTCATAGATGGATGCTGCAGTGATTAAGGTTAAAAATGCATAAATACTCAGTACATATCAAACGATCTGTAATAACAGACAAAGCAATAGTGATCACGTAATAAAAACAGTTACACGTCAGTGCCGATAGCCTCGTGGGCAGCATGTCGACATATAGCGCCGTTGCGCTTCGGGCGCCCTGTGTTTAAGTCCCAGCTTGCAGACCTTTCCCGATCCCATCTCCCCTCTCTCTCCCACTTCGCTTTGTAGGGTATCAGAGTGAATCTGACAATTTAAGATTTGATCAGATTGGTGTTGAACAACCCAAAGAGCCAAATTCCACAAAGAGGCCCAGGATAACAAGTCAGCGTCATAAATCTGCCCAGATCCTAGCGCCAGCCAGTCTGAAGCAAGCCTAACCAACCAGCTCTTTCACAGAACAGCTTTCCTTCACAGCATTAACATAAAAGAACACTTATTGATAATCCCAACTCAGGAAGGAGTTTGTCAAATTTGGGGCAAGTAACCAAGATTAATGGTCAAAGAGATGCACAACTGACCATCACATGTAAATCCATGATAGAAATCATGAGCTACATACTTCCTCGGACTGGTTTCCCCCACACAGGACAAAGACCAGGCTCCTTCTAGACTTTTAACCTTTTTGTTCCTCACAAAGCACACCCTCACGTTCACAGAACGACAGAGAGACTGTTTTTTACATATGTAGATGCATCTACAATCATCTTAAAAGGACTTATAAACGAATATCAGTCCATTGCATAACTTCATAGCATGTATGTAACCCACACATTTGTCTATAATGTTCTAATCACTCAGTGGCTACGTTTACATGCAACCAAATAATCCATTTGTAATCGGATTGACGGCTCAATCGGACTGAAAAACCTTCATGTAAACACCTTAATCGATCCGATTGAGCTCGATCGGAATGAAATTTCGATCGGATTGAAGGGGGTGGTTTATTCCTTTTCTAATACGATTGAGAGTGCATGTAAACACTTGATTAGATTGAACCCCGAAACTGAAAGGACTGCGCATGTGCAGTGACGCAGAAATAGCGTAATGACGTATGACGCGCAGAACGAGCG